TGAGATGAAATGAACTGAAATGAAATGAAATTAACTGAAATGAAATGAACTGAAATGAAATGAACTGAAATGAAATGAACTGAAATGAACTGAACTGAAATGAAATGAACTGAACTGAACTGAACTGAAATGAACTGAAATGAAATGAACTGAACTGAAATGAAATGAACTGAAATGAAATGAAATTAACTGAAATGAAATGAAATTAACTGAAATGAAATGAGCTGAAATGAAAATGAAATGAAAGGGGCAATCGCATTGTGCATTGCACCCAAATACTCGTTGATCGATCACTAGAAAACGACTGACTGGCAGGGATCCAGCAATATGTTGCGCGTTTTGCTTGCTACTACATCACTTCTGTTAACCCTTGACCTTTAGAATGATATTTTAAGAACGAAGTTTGAGCATGAAGATAGGCCTACTCAAAAATTTATCAAAGAAACATGGATAAGTAATAGAATCTTTTGCAATAATCTAGTAGTACAAATCGTTACAATCTTTTTAATACAGTGAAAAATACAAATGACACATGTGCAATTTCACTGCTTTGCTATCGTTGTGCACTCTTACGTGAAAAAAAAACCAAAGCACACGCTAATGTAACGATGTCCATGTATGTACTCAGTTTTACGTGGAAAAAAAATTTTTTAAGTGCACGTTAGTACGCTTGCAAATACGTTTACTTTTGAGCGCGAAGAAAAGAATTAAAAAATTGAAAATGTCGACGAAAAAACAAAGAATAGTGCATCTGTGAGTAGAGGTGCTTGCAGAAGAAAATTGTTGCATATGCAAATGGGGAAAAATGAAAATATATTGAATTTGACGGAAGGACTGGGAGGGATTGATTGAGGAAAAAATCGAATTAGAAAAATTTGGAAAGAGAGAAAGAAACGAGATGTCACCAAGGTTATAGGTCATGCAGAGGTAAAGGTCATCATATCTCAGTATTTAGAATTCAGATGGGGTAAATGTGTGAGTAGGTCACTGAGCAATTTTATACTGTAAAGACGAGATTAGCAAAATACTAAACATCGATGGATAAACAAAGAAAAGACTTCAAAAGGTCAGAGGTGAACATTCTTGTAAGGCACATTTAGCAATTTTTTTTTCTGCGACATTAACTCATCATAATTCAACGATTGTTTGCTTTAACCTCTTAATTAATAAATTATATTAATATTAAATTTTAAAACTGATAACAATTACGAAGATAATTGCAAATAAGTTTTGTGAATAATTTTATAATTTGTTATTATTTAATTATAGAAAATAACTTATGCATAGCATTTCGTTTTTATCAAAATCTTATCATGATTTTTAAATTATAGATATTACAATTATTTAGCAATATTATCATGATTTTCAATCTGTTTACACATGCTATTCAAAAAACGATCTCGTAAAAAGTGTAAATTTCGTGTACTGGAAGTATTTTGCATTATTTTTTTAACACGAAATCCATAATAGATTATACTAATGATTGGAAAGGTCAAAAAGTTCAAACTCGATAAGCTCAGTGACGAGCCATTATGAAAAAAAATTTTCATAATCTTTACTAAAAAGTTTACTTTTTTACTTTTATTAAATTTGACTAGATAAAATGCTAAATTTGAAAATGATGAAGCAAACAAATAGATGCCTGCCAAAATAATTCAAGCTTTCTGTTATAAAATCAAGATCACTGATGATCTACTGATACTACGTGACCCTTTAGACTCTGATATAATTTTTGACGTACATATTTATTATTATTTTGACCATTTGATATGACAGAAGAAATCATCTTATCCTAAACTCAAGATTTTTTAAATCAGCTTTGAAATTATTTTATGCTCAATTTGTATTCCAAAAGTTTTACAATTTATGCATTTTAAATGCTATAAATTTTTGTCTCCTTAAATATTACATTATTATTTAAGTATTATATTACCAGTAATCTTATCTGCTAGTTAAAAAAGCAAATCTTTTTCAAATTCTAACTTATTCAATTTATTTACGCCTACAAGGTACTGTTTACCTTACCTTGTATTCATTTCTTGTATTCAATTTAATATAATACTGTATTCAGTACTTTATAGGCGTAAATAAAAAAAGTATTAGAATCAAATTTCACTGTTTCAGGTTTGTAAATTGAGTACAAGAACCGAAAATGTTAGATCTTAAATTATTTTGTAAGAAAATGCCTAAGTGCGTAAGTTGACGTTTTTTGACTTTTTCAATTTGACGTACAGATCTCAACTTCCATTTACAACATTTGAGGTCAAAGTAAACTTGTTCAATAAAATAAATGATAAGTCTTTTGCTTAAAAGATATGATAAATTTAAAATACTTCAGTGGCATAAATTCTTGATATTATGACAGCTTTAAATACATAAGAGGAGATTATTCCAATTTATTACTCACTGCTAATAATAATAAATTATGCAAATAACTAATTTGTATAAAAGAATAGAAATGAAAAACTGTTAAAACTTGATCTTATTTGTAAAGATGCAAAAAGGTGCGATTCAGAATCAAGCGTAGATTCTTAATGAATTCGGAAAATTGTTTTGAAAATATTTTAAAGGCAATTATTTGTCATTGAATACAAATCTGTAAGTAAGCACTAAATATTTACAGGAATTTAACGTTCGTTGGGAAGCTGCGATTACTAAATCAGTGCTAAAAACAATAGAAGATCATAGACGTGAGTGGGGTGAACGTGAATTAACAGTTAATGAACGCAAAATACTTTGGGCTTATGGAACTCCAAGAAATTATATAGAGTAAATTTTCATTTCAAAACATTAAATTTGATTATCAAATATTTATTTAATAAAAAAAGTAATTAAGCGAATAAATTTATTCAATCAATAAAAATATTAAAAAAATGCATTTTAGATAATTGTAATTAGAATTACTATATAATCAGTTTGACCATAAGTTTTTTCTGTTCACATTTACGTAAACTTTGAATTGATTTTCAAGTTTTGAGTTTTTGTTTTCAAATTATTTACGATTAAGTATTGCATAAAAATAAATAGATGCAAAAGTATGTCTTAATTAGTTTTCAGTAATAATTAGAAATGATTGACCTAAGAATATTTTCAATATATAATATAAAAATGTAAATAATTTGAAAACAAAATCATAACTTAAAAACTAATCCAAAGTTTACGTAGATGTGAAGATAAAAAGCTTAAAAGATCAAACTGACAAATTGTGACAGTAATTAATAATTTAGAGAATTTGAATCTCTATTCGTGTTATTTGCATAAAATTTTTTCAGATTAATGAAGGTAGTTTCGCTGGTGCACAAATTAGTTTTAAGGCAAGAAGAAGTATTTTCGGTGAATAACTTTTAATCAATCATTTTAAAGTTTTATATTTCAATTTTTATTTTATTTTTGAACTTTTTAAAATTTAAAAATTAATAACTGCAAAAAATAATTAAATTCATATTATAGCATTCAATACATTTGAAAATTAAAACTTTTATTTGATACTTTCGGGAAAAAATAAGTGAAACTGAGCGTAAGACGTCAAAAGTTTTTTGAAAAAAGTAAAAAATAAACTTTAATTAAGACTGATTAAGCTTCTAAAATTTAGATTACCAAAGATATTATAAATCGTTATCACGCAGATAACGTAGTTTACTTGGAAATGAGAGTAATCCCGTGTTTAAGCTCTCAGTTAACCCTCGAATTATTCGTAAAAAAAATGATTGACGCTATTTTGGAAAGACAAGAAAATCATATTGAAATGATGATAAAAATAACTTTAACTGTCAATGTATGCGAACCACTGCAAAAATTAAACGAAGTAATTGATATGCTCTTTGTTTTAGGTAACAAATTTTATTTATATTATTAATTTTTAGCTTTTATTATAAATTAATTTAAATATAAAGTAAGCAACTTAAAGTTTATTTTTTCATAAATAATTGTTTTCTAACTTAATTCATTTATAGATTATTTTTTGCCTTTTTGAATGAATCGAAAATATATTCAAGGAAAAAAACTGAAAAAAGTTTAAAAAATAAAATTTTTTTTTATAGAAAAAATTTTTTTATACAAAATTTTTTAGTAATAATTATTGGGTGTATTATATTTTTTAACGAAAAATAATAGCACATTGATTAGTTTACAAAGAATGAATTGAGTGATCAAGAAATCTCGGGAAAGTGTATCTTGATGGAAAAAAAGTAATGATATAAATGTCATTTTTGTGATAATGGATATTATTAATATGAAATTTGAATATTTCACTTTTATTCTCAATTAGCGAGAGTTGTTATCATGATATTATAATTAATAACAGATATTATGAATTTTAAGATGCTTTGGATCGTAAAATCGTAAGTGGTGTTGAACTGATCGGTGACTTAACTAACATCGACAAGGGTTACTTCCATTATTTAATAAATAAGATCCGCAGTGACCCCACTTTGACAATAATTTACAATTTATCTGATGTAATTATTGAATTTTTTCATTTATTATTCTTATAGAGCTGGAGAAAAGATCTATTATTGCAAATTCAGTTCAATAATACCTTATATTTTTTTTATGGAAAAAGTTATTCATTCAAATAGGTCATTTTTGCAACCCGAAATTATAGTTCACATATTGAATTCTGATTATTTTTGCCTTCATTTGTTAAAAATTGAAAACGATCTCTTTGAATGAACAATTTTAAACATGTAAACTATAATATAAATATGTAAAAAAATAATAATAATCAAAAATTATGATCTGAAAAACTTTTTTAGTTTTTCAAAATATGCAAATTTCTTGCTAGTTTTAAGCATATTATTGAGGGTTAAAGAAAATTTAGATATTAAAAATATTTTGGAAATATTATTTATGAGCAAATTTTAATTTTTTTCTAATTAAGTTTATTTTTACATTCAGTTAAAATAGAAAAAGTCAATATAATGCAAATCTGATATAATATAACTTCAGTGTAAGAATTAAATTAACTTGATTAAATTAACAAACATGAATTTGTGTTCATATTTTAGTTTCCTGACAATGCAGATTCACTGCATGAAGTATTGGTTTCAAGTCCAGATCGTTTATGCAATGCTGAAGTTTTGAATATTAATGAACGAGGAGGAGATTCTTTTTATCAACGAATCTTTCGTGATCATTTGATATCAAAAAGAATTCCTACTGGTAAATAATTACATTTTTTAATAATTTTTAACAATAATGAAATACTTATTAATTCAGTTATGAATAATTTAATTATAAAATAATTTAATTATTAATAATAAGCAAACTTTTATTAAGTATTGCTATTTTAGAATTTTGTTATACTCTCAATAAATTAAGCACTCACCGACAAGACAATAATAGCATATGGAAAAAGCATTTTAATTATCTTTATTCAATAGACCATCCTATACTTCCTTGTGTAAGTCTGCTTTTATTACTAACTAACTTGAACTAACTTTTAGCAGTGAAAATATTTTTTATACTCTATCTAAGTTTTATTGCTTTCGAATAATTTGAATAATCATACTTTAAGTTTTATTCATTTTAAATAATGTAAATAATTTAAAAAGAGCTGAAAATTTGGTACAGTATTTGAAAATATTGTAGGCTGTTCTACCTGTTTTGCTATGAATAAGTGTAAGCATTTCAAAAATAGCTTAGCTTAAGCTATTTTGCATAACTTTCTCCATTTTTGGCGTATAAACAAAAAATGGAAAAATTTGTTAACGTATTTTTTTGACTTCTAAGCTTTATTTGACAAATTAATTGCTCAGCATTTATCATTATCATTGTATTCATAATTATTATGAGCATGACAAATTTTTTGAATTTTTGATTTAAAAAAATGATTTAAATACTTTTTAATTAATTAAATTAAATTTAGATAAGAAGAAAAATATATTGTTAAGTACTATTGTATTAAAATGTGTTATAGACAGGATTTGGTGAAGCGATGGGTAGAGACTTATCTACAGAATATTATTATTTAGCACTTGAAATGAATCTAAGCACAAGCCAAATTTATAAATTGGCGCGAAAAGCATCTTTTTTTATTAAGCGAACTGAAAAATATCGAGGCGGAGATTACTTACTTTATACTAAAAATTATGATGAATTTGCAAATAGCTATAAATTAGATGCTTCTGTTCAATGGCAGTACGACTACTTCCTTGTTACACACACTTTTCTTAGCCGACCTTTGCCGCGAAAACGAAATAGGCGATGCCAACGTCGTATTAATGATGTTTTATATCTTTGAGAATTTATCAACATTGTGGAGTTTTATGCTCGTAAATTTCAAATTAAGTTATACTCAAATGAATATGCGACATATTTATACCTCAATTTTAAATTTTGTTTAGCTATTTTTGATTATTTATGTATTTGCATATTTCGGATGGTGCTTGTCTAGTTAGTCTACATGCTACAGTAACTATTCAATATCATTACTTGTGATTAGATCTACGTTCAATTTAATTACTTTAATTGATATCTATATTCAGTATAATTAATTTTTGTGTTTATCACTGCTCAATCATTATTATCGTTGAAATTATTATCCATATTTTGAATTATATTATTTGAAAATTTTCAATTCCTGTATATTAGTTGGATTTAAATTTAAAACTTTTTTTACTTGGATTTAAAACTTTAAATATTTACAACTTTGTTGATTACTTCATATGAAGTAATCAACAAAGTTGTAAATATTTAAAGTTAAATTTCAAATTAAGTTATACTCAAATGAATATGCGACATATTTATACCTCAATTTTAAATTTTTTTTAGCTATTTTTAATTATTTATTAACAAAGTTAATTACTTCATACAATGAAGTAATTAACTTCGCTGTATGAAGTAATTAACAAAGTTGTAAATATTTGCTGTACACTTTTATTATATTATGACTGTAGTAAATTTGCTTAACAACACATATTTTGAAAAAAAGAAATGTAACAATTTAGCAAATAAGAAAACTGAATTCAGTACATTTTAAAAGATATGAATTGTGCCACAAAATTATTCCGTAATACCTTTCCCGCCAAATGCAAAATTATAGACAAATGAATTTCTTTAGATGAGATTTAGCTGAAATATTTTTTGAAATTAACATAATTATTTTTGAATTATCCTATGAAAGTAGGATAATTATTAATGAATTATTTTATATATTCTGGCATTTTGTACTTTACTTTTGGGCGTTTTTTTTCAAAAATTTGAAAACAAAATTGAGTTTTTTAAAAATTTCAATGAGAAAAACTGCATAATCTTTTGGGTTTTTTTAATAATTTATGCAATTATTGATTGCGTCTTGTTAAATCTTTTTTGATCGTTGTAATGATGCTGAAAATTGAAAA